TCTATAGATCTATATAGTATTTTATATTAATAAGCAAGGTTAGTAGAGAACTTTTGTCGTAACTGTATAGCTTATAAGAACATACTCTGCTATCTGCTTTTATGGAACCTATATAAAAATTATGAAAATAATATAATCTAAAAATGTTTCCTGCCTGTGTTAAAAATTATCACGTCGATTAGTGGCACATTTTGTTAAGTTGTTTTAATACTATATTACAATGTTTTTTAATCGGCATATGGAGAAATTTAAATAAATTTTTATGGGGTAATTTGGATAACGCATTCAGTTCCTTAGAATATTTATATTTTAGATGTTTTAAGATAAATTTCATTATATCAGACATTAAGCATTATAAAAAGGAATGCTCGATTGAATTGGACTAAAGAGAGCACGAAACAAGCTGTTAACGTTACAGTTGTCACTGATAATGTGGTCTCGGTTTTAAGTTAGAAGCTGCGCAATTATTTCATGTTCTATACACGAGCTTGTATAGAAAAGTACAATCTAAAAAAGCAAATATAATGAAAATGATGTTCCTAGAACTTCTATTGGGCGTCCTGCGGTGTTTTGTAGCATTTTAGAAAACTTTAGAAAGAGTTAAATATCCTGAAGTCAGAGATTCTTTTATTAATTTCTGTTTAATTTTGTTTAAAAAGTAAAATTTAATATTTAAAACGCAATAGATAAATATAATGTTTTACTTTAATTATAATATCAATGTTAAAAAGTTTATTTATGCCCGTTGTACTTAAAATACTGGGAATAACATGATCATTTTATGTTTTTCTAATTTATGTTTAATTTTATTTTATGTCTTTCTAATTTGTGTTTTATTTGATTTGGAAAATATAATAAAATGTTTAAAAAAACATTTAAATATAAAATTTGGTTTTTATTGTAATATTAATGTTTATTTTCAATGTTATTCAAATTACTCCTTAAAATTGACTTTCATTAAAATTGTAGGGGTAAATCGGATAATGACGCTGCATCTCAGGATTTAAAGAATAATGTTTTATATATTGGGTAAATATTCTTTAAACATGTGAGTTTTCTGTTACATATTTAAATTAAGAATAAAATTATTACTTTTCCAGAAATTGCTCAAAAAGTTTGAAATTATTCAAATTACCCCATTGTATCTATGAAAATGATATATGATTATTATTTGTTAATTTTTTCATTATTAACGGTCAAAGATGAGCAATTCAAGGTGTTATAAAAACTTTATTCTTCAATCTTCTAACATAAAACGTAACGAAACTAGTTTTGATCCTTACTTGAACTTTTCTCATTTGTATAAATAAATAAATAAATAAATCGGTAAATCCTAACGTGTTCTATATTCAGTTAAAATATACAATGATGTAATAAACCATAATTAACGGAGTCATACAAAAATCAAGAGACCATAATTAGTAAATAATAAAATCAATCACTGAAAACGAAGTTATATGGAATAAACGGAGGTCTCCGACGATGTAGAAGGAATCAGCTGCACGCTTGACAATCATCGCAATTCTTGATAAATTAGTTATGTCTGTTGATCTGCAATTATTTAGAATTACAAGTATTATGCCAAAGTGAGATCTAATTATTGAAATTATTAAATTCAGTTATCGTTACGAATATAATTATATGCCGCAGTCGTAATAAATTAAAATTTACGTATAAAAGTCTAATATCCAGTGGAACCGATGTCATGATATACGCAAGTCGATGTCTAGCAGCGAAATGAGACGTAATAATCGAAATTGCGACGCTTATAGGTCAAACCGATAAAGAAATAATACTGGTCAACGCGTTGATGTTACAGTTAATCATAAACAATGTCAAGCAAACCATTTATCTTTTAAAGTTGTTATTTGATATCCTATCTAATAAATTGAAATACACGTCATCAAGCAACAATGCATTCTCTTTCGAGTTAACATCATTTGTTTGCGCTTTGATGTGTATCATTTCCGACGTTAATCTTCTATAATAATTAGTTTTGTTGTCAAGAATCAATACATTATATCCCAATCGAATTCCCAATTTGGTCGAATTCCATTATATTCGTAATAACGAAGTGTTTCGATATCTCCGAGTTAATATTTCTTTAATTCTCATTAATACGTATCCTCATCTGTCTTTTTGTCTGCGTGTAAGCGTTACAATTTTTACACAAGATTTTCAATGTTATAATTCGACTCATTGTCATTAATGTCTTTATGGCTTTTAATAAAATTATTAAATCTATTTAGACATCGACAACTAATTAAGAATTTATTCTTCTCGAGTGCTGATGCTACTATCTCTGACGCACGCATTATTATAAGAAAACGCTACAATCTTTCTATCACTATCTGAGTTGTTATGAGTTTCCGAATCTTCCTTGTTAAATCTGGTTGTAATTATAATTGTTTTTAATCTACTATTAATTTTCTCAAAAATCAGATTCAACGGATAACCATTACTAATTAACGTGTGTATTACAAATTCTAAATTTTTTTTTGAAATATTGAATGTGACAATAAGACAGCTCTATCTACAAGACTGTATATTGTTCCATCTTATGGCACATGGGATGATGGTGAATAAAACGATAAATATATATATTTCCCCGAGTATGTGTCCTTGTGATACCAGTCCACGGTACTATGAGTCCACGATACTGAAAATTCTATTATTGATAGTTTTTAGAGACACATCCAAAAAATTGATACATTGCTCATTTTCAATCTTCGTGGTGAACTTATAAGCCTCTCATGGAAATTGTTAAATCTATTAAACAAGTTGGAGCGTATCGTATATCGCTCACGTGTAGTAGAACGCATCGCGTCTCGCTCGCACACCACGCAGGCGATGCGAGCGAGCGCGAACGATACTTTGGCGACGCCGCGCAAGTAACATCGCCGAAATACACGATCTAGCGCGGACCATAACGAGATCCCTCCGATTAGCCAATCGATACTCGAAGGACGCGCGGGTCGCGATTGGGTAATGCATCAGGAGCGGGGATGCAACGCGACGAAGGTACTATATATATAACAACCCTTCGGAGGTTCTATCAATCTCAATCGTTTTCTCCTTGACCTCGGATCCGAACAGACACGCGTGCCGACTCTTTTCGATAAACCGTTGCGAGTGCGATTTTTCTTGAGACCGAGCTCTCCGAGCGCCCGAGTGCGCGAAGCTCTCCGAGA